TACTGTTATCCTTCTCCCACCTTTCTCACCATCTTTGTCTCTTTTAACCCCTTAAGTGTAGCATCGTGTAAGACTAATTCTCTCTATACATTCAGGATGATCTCATTTCTCTAGCTTCCCCTGACCTTTCTTCTGAGCAATCCAGTCTTGCATATCCAATTGCCTGCTTATAGACATTTACCTACATGTACTGACACCTCAAACTTAATACATCTAAAACCAAATTCATTTCTGTTCTCTCATTTTTCACTCTGTTGTTGACAAAACCATCCTTTGTTGCCCAGGTTTGAAATTCTTGATCTATCCATCTTTTTAAACTCTTCCCTTACTCTTCTACATCTAAACAGGTATCAAGTCCTATTCCTTACCCTAAGCTCTCCTATCTTTTCTCTCCTCATCCCCTCTTGCTAAGTCTGTTAAAATAGCCTCTTAGCTGGTTTCCCCATCTCCATTCTCCTCATTCCATCCATTAGAAAGTATCCATAAGTCTGGTCTTATCACTCCTGCTTCAGAAACCCTTAGTAAGCTCCCCATTGCTTACTTAAGTGGAGGCTTGGTGAGACCTTGTGAAGGGTGTCTAGAAGTTTCCTCTTCAGATATGAATAACTTCCAAATCTCAAACCTGTTGGCCTACTGTCAAGGTTAACAAGCACCCCATAAAACACACAAACCTAGCTCTAGATCTGTAATATATCTTAGGGTAGGACCCATAATTTGCCATCACCAGTGGTCCATAGGAGTTCTAAACTCGCCCCTCCCCCAGCATGCCCCTGACAGCTGCTTTGCTGTGCTGGGTGGGCAGGAATGAGACAACTGACTGACTTCTCAAGAAGTAGAATGATCGTGCCTCAAGAAACCATTCCCTGCCACACAATGTGGTAGGGAGGGTTGTTCCCCAGGGCCTGGGTATCTGCTGGTGCATAAGGCTGAGTCATTCTGTGGCATAATTCTCATTGGCCACAGCTTATCTGTTTTGCTCTTTCTTCCCAAAGAATCTCTCTCTCATTTTGATTTCTGCTTCTATGATTCAGTGAGACATTTTGCCCTTTTGAGAATTATAAACCAAACAGCTTTCTGTAGTTTGTTAAACTAAGGAAATAGATAGGTACCGTCATGTCAGAAGATGGACCAGGACTTTGGCCAATGACATCAGTATTTTCTTTCTTTCTTTTTTTTTTTAAATTCTGAACTTAAAACTCTCAAAAAGTATATTTACACATACACAGAGCTGAATACTGTAAGAGGAATCTGCATTAAATCATAAATATCCATTTCATACCTTTCAGATTTTTTAGAATATATAACAAATTCTACGCATTGCTTTCAAAACTGTCCTGCTTATCTGTGCTCCCTTCTGAACTTCTTTCTATTCTCTTCTGTGAATTTTTTTTAAATGACATAACGGCTTTTTTTTTTAAAGCAGTGATATCAGTTCTAATCTAAACATATCCTCTGCTCTGAATGTACTCGTATTTCTCTGACTTTCGAGTTGACCAGGTTCATTTTTCTGTTCTGCTTATGTGCAAGTATTTTAAACTTCTTGAAAATGTACACACTTATGGAATTCTACCAAGTTACATACATCCCCTAGGTTCTCTGGTATCCTGACTACAGGTAAACCCAAAGCTCCAGGAGTTTGTTCAGAATGAATGAGGCACATATATTTAGAAATAGTTCTGTTGACATGTCTTTTCAAGCCTGGAAATGTGCTTTTGGAAAACTCAGATACAATATTTTTCCCCCATCCTCTTTATGGAGCAAACCATATATTTAAAGGGACATCCTAGTGGATAGTGGCTTTCCCAACCAAAAGCATAGTAACTAGACCTTTTCTAGCTTTTCCTGTTTCACAGGAAATATACATATATATATATATATATATATATATATATATATATATATATATATATATTTTAATTTCTTTACCAAGAGTACTGATTCTTTTTTTTTGTAATTTTAAAAAAATTTTAAACAAATACAAAATAAGAAAAGAAAAAAGAAACAAACTTAAATACTAAAACTAAAATAATACAAACTAAGAAAAGGAAAAAAACTTGCCAACATGCACAGCAGAATGTGAGAGAGAATTCAAAATATGAAGCAATGAATTTCCCTTTCAAGAAAGCCTATGTAATAAATACTGTCTGTCTTTGTCTCCTTGTAAGCTTTGCTTTGTTCTCTGCCGTGTACTTTTTACTTTGTTCTTTTGTCCCTCTCCCCTCCCAAAGGCTACAATTAAGCATGGATACATATATGGATGTATGTATATACATATACATGAGACATATAGACATATACACGCAAATATATACACTTATTTACACTTACATGTACTTAGATGTTGATAATCATAGTCATATATAGACATATACATTTATGTGCATCTATGTAAGACCATACTATACTTATTTATCCTCCGTTTCTCTGAGGGTGGATAACTTCTTTCTTCATAAGTCCAAGTCTTTACATATTTTTCCAAGTCCACCATCTTGTTCCCTACATCACAGCAATATTCCTACCTTATACTGTCCAGTTGTTTTAAATAGTTCAAAACAACGTTGATAAATATGGCTGACACATAGTGTAGTTTCCCTAGTTTTCTCTTTTGATTAAATCTCCTTTAGCCTAAACTGTGAGATCATGATTACCACCCCTGCTCCTTTTTCCCTAACAAATTCTACTACTGATCTTTATTTTATGTTTTTTCGTATCTCTTATTTCCTATCCCTCCTGACTCCTCTACTTTACTTCTGTCTGCTACCTTGCCCTCCTATTACTTAACCTACCCCCCCAACCCCAGGATCCCTCCTTTATCCTCCCATTCTCATTAATCTAAACACTCTTCTGTACCCCCTTTTAACCTGTTTCCTCACCTTCCCCTGTAAAGATCCCTCCCTTATCCTTTCCCCCCATCTCCTTGGCATTTTATTTCTTTCTGAATTTAGAAGACTTTTATACTCTTTTAGCTATATGTGTATTGTTCCCTCTTGAACTCATTCACAATGAAAGCAGGTTTCCAGAACTAACAGCCCTCCTCCCCCATCTAATTCTTCTGTGTTGGTTCTTCCTCTCATACTTCTCATTTGTATAAGATTATTGCTCTTTTAAGTTGTTCATAAGAGTACTGATTCTTAAGGCATTTCATTGTTACAGTTTCCTTGTATTTTCTGATTGTCCCATTTGGCAAAAGTAGGTAATCCCATACAGTGTTCTTCTAGTTTCACACCCGTGGATACTTTTGATTCCTCTCAACAACCCTATGAAGTAGGTAGAAGGTGTGTTACCCTTGTTTTATAGACAAGAGTAAAGGACTGTCCCTAAACAAGTGCGCTGATCAATGCCTGCCCAGAACTAGTATGGCCTTAGCCACTCTTGTGGAAAATGGATGCACCACAGAATGGCATATACACTGTCAGAAAAGGTCACTTTTTTGTGTTTTGTTTAACTTGTTCTTTGTTTTAAGGGAGGATCTGATTGGAGTGGGTCAGGAGGCAGATTGAAAAATGATTGCAATGTCAAGAAGATGGGAGTTGGGGAATAGATGTGTTTAATGTGAGGTGGCCAGACCTTGCCTCCCATGTTTGATCAAACAGAATGCTATGGGAGCACAATACACAAGGCGCATTTTTCTGAAACTCCTTCTGTCTATTTCTCAGGTTTTAAAACCCCCTTTTAGAACTCTCTGAATGGGTGGAGGTGCTTTTGTTGTTGGTTTTAGCAGATTTTTCTTGGAACATGGGGAATTGTTTTGATGCCCTGTGGACTTGTTTGAATAGATCAGAGAATAAACATCTAAAATGATTTCCTTCCCTTTCTGGAAGGTCCACCAGGATTGCCATTTGCATCACTAGTAAACCCTGCTCATGGGGTGCGGTGCAGGCCCTTGCTCACCCTGTTGAGCCACTTACCCTCTTGACATTTTTCATGTGTGATTGGCGATAGGTAGCTTGCCAGTCAGGAGCTGTTCATCTGTAGTGACTGCTTAATTAAAAAAAAAAAAAGGTGCTAAGTTGACCATCATTTTACCCTTAGGTGTTTGATTAAATATCTTAACTGGTTTTGTCTGGTGGTCGCACTGGGCCGTGTTGGCTCAGAAGGTAGCGGACTGAAAAGGACATCATCGTCATCACCAGAGAGAAGTACAGGAACCTCCTCTGGTCTCAGCAGTTGTGTCCTTGAACATCAGATTCCTCACCTGCAAGTGTACTCGTGGTGCTACCTGTGTCTGGCCCGTCAGCCAGATGGACTCAGTTGAAAAGCAGGGCTGGGGCCAAAATAAGGAAAACACTTGTAGAGATGCAGATCGGGGAGGGCGGTATAGGGAGTACTCCCTTTTGGCTGTTGAGCCTGGAAAAAGAGCTGAGAACATGAAGAATGTCCTCTCCTATTGCTTTTTCTGTAAAAAGAGTATGTCACTAGCTTTTCAGTGCAGCTGGATTGGAATTGGAGTATATACAGCCTCATTCTTTTAGCTGAGAATTGGATGATGTCCGACCTCTTTTGGTATGACTGACCTCAGTTGCTCTGCTTGGTAGAGCCCTTTTCTACTGTAGCCATGGCCAACACCTATCTCCTCGTTGGTTGTCTCCTCATGCTTTGGTTGGTGGAGCTGCCCATATACTCATTCTGCTTAGTTAGATGAGGGCCTCTGGAGTGTTCTGTGAGAGAAACAGTGCGGAGTACACTGAGTCTCATTCCTGCTGTAACTGTCCTAGGAACCATCTTCACGGGTTAATTCCACCAACCAAAAAGGAATTCGTCTCATGTTTGCTGCCAGCAGCCAAGTCTGCTTGCCCTGCCTTCAGTAGTGTACTGCTCCTCTAAGGACAGAGTCTTCACTGGGCTGTTTTTTTTCCCCCAGAACTAATCCTTCCCCAGCTGGGGTTGACGGTCTTGCTGAAATCTTTTAGGTTTCAGAGACTGTCTGCATAACCTGACGTCAAACATCCTGCAGCAGGAGCCGGATGTATGAGTAATTCTCTTCGTTTCAACTTTTACAGGGATTTCCTTCCTCGTGGATCAGGAATCGTCACCAGACGTCCCCTTATTCTTCAACTCATTTTCTCAAAAACAGGTATGTTGGAATTGCCTAAAGAACAGGTTGAGAGAAGGAGACAGGAGGAGGAAGGGCAAATGCTTACTTGTATTCAAAGGAAAGCCTTCAGCCCAGTTGTCTTGAAGGAAATGGAAGATGCAGTTTAAATTTTGAATTCAGAGTTAAAATATTAATTTTTTGATTCTTTGTTTATGTATTTCTCATTTCTGCTTTTCAAATGAAATTTTGGCTTATATTCCCTTCTTCTGAACTTCCCTATTTCTGTTGAGACCACCATCCTTCCAATCACTTCCTCATGACTCCTCATTTTCCATCATCCCACATACATAGTTGCCAGATCTTGTTTCTCCCTTCACAACACTTCTTTCCTCTGCCCACTTCTTTCTACCTGTATGTCTGCCACCTTCATTCAGGCCCGGATCACCTCTTGGTTGGACTCTTGTGGCCGTGTCCTAACTGGCCTCCCTACTCAAGGCTCCCTCAACCCCAATGCCTCCTCCACACAACTGACAAAAGGATTTTTCCTAAAGCATAGATCTGACCACACCACTCCTGTTCAGTAAGGTCCAGTGGATGTGCTAGTATCAAATAGGGCTTTTAAAGCCCTTCATACCCTTGCTTCAGACAACCTTTCTGAATTACTATGCATTAATTCCCTTAATGAATTCTAGCAGTCTAGCCAATTTTGCCTGACATGTTATCTCTTTTCTCTATACCTTTGCACTGTCTCTCACACTTAGAATACCTTCTCTCCACAGTTTTCACTTCTTAGAATCCTTTTTCCTTCAAAACTCTGCTGTAGTACCATCTCCTCCATGAAGTCTTTCTGGATCCCTCCTGTCCTCAAAGGTCTTCCTCTTTCTCCTCTTCCCCCAAACTTACCTTATTTTCATTTGTTACATATTTTGTATATACATGCAGCTGCAAGAGTTGTCTCTCTAAATAGAATGGAAGGTCCTAGAAGGCAGGGACTGGTTTGTATGTGTGCCTCTGTCCCCATGACACAGCCTAGTACCTGGCACAGCTTTGGTGCTTAGTAAATGATCATTGATTGCCCCATTTTATGACAGCTCTCAAGGGAACTATATTTTCACAGAAGCACAGAATGTTATCATTGGAGGGACCTTAACAATGATCTCTGCCAACCCTTTTATTTTACAAACTAGGAAATAGACCAAAAGAGGGGAACTCTGTTGCCCGGAGTTACACACTAAATTGCAGAGCCAGAAGTCGAACCCATAGCTTCTGGCTCCAAACCCATCTATACATCATACCATGCTTCGTTCCATTGGCTGGTGTTTATAAAATTTTGGTTATGTGCCTATGACCACCATGTAAGTTGGGAAGAGTAAGAGATTCAAGGTCCGTTTGTGTTTGGTGAAAGGCCAGTCTGTGCCCTGTTCTCTCTGGTAGTGCATGGAGAGCAGGCAAGTTGTATACTGACAGTTCTTGCTGTTCCAGTGGTAAAAGGCAAGTAACTTTTGCACGTGGTTCTAGGGAAAAACACACCTGGACCATGTGTCAGATCTACTCCCTAATTTTCTAATTTCATGACAGTAGAATTATAAGTTGAATGAATTCCCACATACAGTATCATTAATACATTATAAAGTCATGAAACTCATCCCTTTTTAATATACCCAGTGGAACAGCTGTCCCATATAAATGCTGTTTTGCCTAACATTATACTTTGCTGAAATTACTGACATCGTGAAATGGGGCCTACCTGAAATAGGGGTACCCAAGATATTACAACACCTATAGAAAGTGGCCTTTCCACAATTTAGAAATGTATCCCAAAATAATAAACTGTTCATCTCATTTGAACCAGCTATACCACTACTAAGCTTATCCCCCAAAGATGTCAAAGAAAGAGGGAAAGAACTTACGTGTGCAAAAAATATTTATAGCAGCTCTTTTTGTAGTAGACAAAAATTGGAAATGGCCAAACCAATTGGGGACCGGATAAGCAAATTATGACACATGAGTGTAATGGAATATTATTATGTCATAAAAGAACAGTTTCAGAAAAAAGTGAGAACTTCTTGGAAATGTAGCAGAGTGAAGTCAGTAAAAACTAGAAGAACATTTATGTGATGACAGCAGCATTATAGAGAAAAATGACTTTGGAAGATTTGAGAACTCAGACCATTGCCATGATAGATAAATTCTGAATCCAGAAGATTGGAGGTAAAACACGATACCCATCTCCTGCCAGAGATGGATTTTAAATGTAGTTAAGACATACGTTTTTTGGATATGGCCAGTGGGGAAATTTGTTTTGCTTGATAATGCAGATTTGTTATAAGGGTTTCATTTTTTTAGGAGTTTTTAATTGTTCCTTGCTGTAATGGGGGAGCAGGGATGACAGTGCTTTTTTAAAAAGTGTCCTTGCCTACTTCTCCCAGTTTGGCGCCTCTCTTTTTTTTTTTAACTAACATTTTTATTTAAAGTTTTAAGTTCCGAATTCTACCCCTCCCTCCCTCTATTCCCTCCTCCATCCCTGAGATGGTAAGCAATCAGATATACGTTATACATGTGCAATTCTGTAAAACATTACCATTTTAGTCATTTTATACAAGAAGACTCGAATAAAAGGGGAAAAAAGTGAAAAATAGTATGCTTCAGTCTGTATTCAAACAATATCAGTTCTTTCTCTGGAAGCAGTCCTTTGGGATTGTCTTGGACCATTGCATTGCTGAGAATAGCTAAGTCATTCACAGTTCTTCATCAAACAATATTGCTGTTAACTGTGTGCAAAGTTTTCCTGGTTCTGGTCACTTCACTATGCATTATGATGTTCGTGTAAGTCTTTGCAGTTTTTACTGAAATCATCCTACTTGTCATCTCTTATAGAACAATAATATTCCATTACAGTTATAGCTTTTTTAGCCATTCCCTGATTGATGAGCATCCTTTCAATTTCTAATTCTTAGCCACCACAGAAAGGAGCTGCTATAAATATTTTTGTACAAATGCACCGTTTTCCCTTTCTTTGGATGTCTTTGAGATGTAGACCTAGCGGTGGCATTACTAAATGAAAGGGTATACACAGTTATATAGCCCTTTGGGCGTAGTTCCAAATTGCTCACCAGAATGGTTGAATCAGATCACAACTCTACCAACAGTGCATTAGTGTCCCAGTTTTCCCACACCCCTTCCAACATCCAACACTTTCCTTTTTTGTCATATTAGCCAATCTGATAGATGTGAGGTGTGGGACCTCAGAATTGTTTTAATTTGCATTTCTCTAATCAATATTTATTTAGAGCATTTTGTCATATGACTGTGGATAGCTTTGATTTCTTTGTCTGAAAACTGCCTGCTCTCATCCTTTGAACATTTATCAATCGGGGAATGACTTGTATTTTTTGACTCAGTTCTCTATATATTTGAAAAATAAGGCCTTAATCAGAGATAATTGTTGCAAAGTTTTTCCCAGTTCTCTGCTTTCCTTGTAATTTTAGTTGCTTTGGTTTCATTTGTGCAAAAACTTTTTAATTTTATATAATCAAAATTATGTATTTTACATTTTGTAGTGCTCTCCATATCTTCTTTGGTCCTAAATTGTTCCCTTATCCACAAATCTGACAGATAAACTATTCCATGCTCTCTTAATTTGCTTATGGTATCACCCTTTAGGTGTAAATCATATGCCCATTTTTACCTTATCTTGGTATATGGTGTGAGATATTGAGCTATACTTAGTTTCTACCGTACTGTTTTGCAGTTTTCCCAGCAGTTTTTGTTCCAAAAGCTTGGGTCTTTGGGTTTATCTTACACTAGATTGCTGTGGTCATTTGCTGTCATATAATTTGCACCTACTCTTTATGATTACCATCTTATAATGCAGTTTGAGATCATGTATGGTTAGACCATCTTCTTTCACATTTTTTTTCCATTTATTTCCTTGATATTCTTGAGCTTTTGTTCTTCCAGATGAATTTTGTTATTATTTTTCTGGTTTTATAAAATGATTTTTAATAGTTTGATAGATTGACAGGGCACTGAATAAATAGATTAATTTAGGTAGAATTGTCATTTTTATTATATTGGCTCAATCTATCCATGAGCAATTGTTTTTCCAGTTGTTTAGATCTAACTTTATTTGTGTGAAAGGTGTTTTATAGTTGTGTTCATACAGTTCCTGTGTTTGTCTTGGCAGGTAGACTCCCAAGTATTTTATATGGTCTACAGTTATTTTAAATAGAATTTCTCTTTCTGTCTCCTGCTGCTGGACTTTGTTGGTAATCCTTTCCTTCTTAAAAACCCAAACAAACCCAAACAAATAACCTGTGTGTTTGTTTTATATATTTATCTAGTAAACAAATTATATCCCTCTAGTCTAATATAAGCTCCTTGAGGGCATGGGCTATCTTGTTTTTTGTCTTTTTATCCCTAGCACGTAGGACAGTACATGGCACATAGTAAGCACTTAATAAATGTTTGATTATGTTCAGTAAGTTGTAACTTAGCCTCTGATATTTGTTCTTTTGAGAAAGGTATTCAGACAGCTAAATATGTGGCTGTTCTACAGTAAGCTTGACTTTGGAGGGCCTAATGCCAAGGATTGTTTTACCTGCTAGCTTCCTGAGAATTTTGACTGTCAGATGAAATACTCTTCACATTGGTTAATGCCACTCCCTGTAAATTTAAAGATGGGAATTTGAGTGTGTGATACTCCTGAGAACTACACTGGATTTGACGAATCACCAAATCTGTTTTCTGAATACGTGTTTATTTCACATGACTTCCAAATGTTGGTTGAGCTTTGTTTCTTTAGAGAATATTTTCTTGTTATTCAAACATGGTTAATTATTAATTTCAACCATCTTTATTTAAAAATTACCCAAAGTCTGGACCATAAAGTCAGCTGGCCTAGCTGAAATTTCTTCCTCCTAGGGATAGAAGAGTTTGTCACCCAGGTTCTGAAACCTGTGAGCTAAATTGCTCAGGAAGGCTGTGCATAGCGCGTTGACTGAAAGAAAAGCAAATACAATCATTCATCCACAAACACT